ATCATTTATGCAGACTTTTTTTAATTTTAATTATGCATCTTGGAGAGAGAGAAGGAAAGATTCTCTAAAGTATAATCATCTATCTACATATATATATATATATCTACATATATATATATATATTCACACACACATGCATCCTGAAAGTGGACCGCCGTGACTTATTTGTAGTGTTAGTTGCCCTGCTATCTGGCTCATCAGAGCTTTTGAACACACATTTTCATATTCCTCTACTTATAACATGCAACATTTTCCATGTCATATATAACTTTAGATTATGATTTCCAACTTGATGTTTTAATCTCCTAGGCACCTACTGTAATGATATTTTAGAAACTGTTTGGAGTTTAAGAAATAATTTGTGTTACTAATTTGTATAACCCTTATCTGTGCAATGGAATATAAATATCACAAAGTTGTTTGACTAAAGGACTGTGTGTTGTTTTTGCCACTGTAAAACCCAAGAGTAATTTGGGTTTTTTTCTTCTAAGATCATCCTTGTAAAAGAAAAAGCAATTTTTAAAAGAATCCAGCTCTCTTACAGAATGAACGAAATCAGAGGATTGTATTTCAATAAAAACAGATCTTTAGTAACTAAAACAAATTCTTCATTGCCAAGGTTTTTCATTGACACTAAGACTCAACCTTGAATGATGTTGTTTCAGTTAGTTTAAAAATGATGTCTTTGTACTTAATAGAAGAGCTGTAAACCTTGACATTTCCAAGTAGCATACAATGCTTTCCTGAGAGTTCCCTGCTCAGAAATGGAGCGGTTTGAGTTATAAATGACTCACACTGTTTCCCATTGCATCTTGTCTGAAATAATTATAGTTAGGAGTGATGACTTTGCAAATTCCTGAAACGAGAAATTTAAATTCTTATTTTAGGCAGTAAGAATGTTAGCCCAGCTAGTCAGACAATCAGCAAGTTAAAAGTGTGTGTTCTGATCAGTTGAGAGCCACTTTGCTCTATCATCTAGCCTGCAAGGGGGCTGTAGATGTTTAGGAACACATGACTCACTCAGCAGATGTTTACTAAGCACCCTTTATGTGCCTAACACTCAGCGTCGAGTGTGAATATACTTATCTGGAGACTCATGCTAGTCAAGTAAATACAAGGAATGAGAATGTTTATAGGTGCCATCGCACCAACTATGACTCCTAACAACCGTAGGAATAGTAGACCTGTGCCTTGCCCCATCCTGTGCCATCTGCATCATCTCTCATGTAGTCAGCATCACCTATAGTCACTGTGTCTATCTTTTTGAGGATCTTCCTCTCTTTCTCAGAACCTCAACCTTTCCCAATGTGATGATTTTTCCAAGAAATAGTCCTCCTGATGACATGCCTGAAATATGTGACACAACACGAAATCCCAGGCATCAGTGAGTTGAGATGCACTGGTATTGGCCACTTTGAATCAGATAATCATATGCTCTATTATGCCAGGAATGACAAACTGAAGAATTGTGTTACATATGTGAATTTATTTATGCATTGTGCTGAGTAGAGTAATGGGCATGCTGGACGTGTTGGGAGGGGGGGGACACACTAAGATTTCTAGAATGTGATAGTCATGGGAGGACCTTGTTTAAGCCATCACGTGATGGATCATGGATCTCTATTAAAGGTTTGTAGTTTGGAACAAACATTTGCGTTTCTGATTTCCCACTGAAAGATACTACATTAGGGGGGATTATCTGCCCCGCAATCTAAATGACTCCACACTATAGAAGTGCACTTGCTTTTATCCCAGTCCAGTGCTACAGAGACCGGACATCCCTATTTGTGACAGTGCAAGTGAAGTTTCCAGATGGACCCTGGAGGAGAGGAATGGTGGAGGCTGGGGGCGTTTCCTAGGCTGCCAGCCCAGAGGGCTGGGAGCTGGAGAAATGGAGAACTGCTGAACGCATTGTTTCTGCCACAAATGGACCTTACAAATGAGTAAAAATACCAACAAAATTAACAATAGAAAGGTTCCATTTCTGAAATGAGCATGAAATTTTGAGTATGTGTGTGATTTAGTGACTTGTGCTATCTTCCTTGGTAAAACATTTGGAAACACAAGGGAAAGGCCAATGGATGATTTAATATTTTGCCATTAAAAAATGCTGTGCATCACATTCTTTTTAATAGTTTTTTCTTTATAAACCCAAGATTGTTTCTGTTCTTGCAGTTACTTTGCATTTTGCTCTTTAAAGAAAGTTGCAGATATCAGTTAGATGACATAGTTAAAAATGCAAATAGCACTGAAGGGAATCCTTATTTAAGACTATAGCCATCCCTCCCCTTACTCTTACTTCTTAGAGACAATTGCTAACCTTGAGACTTGCTTCTGTACCTCTCTTTTTATCCTTACGCTTTGTTGTTGTTGTTACATGCCATTGAGTCCAAGCTCACTCCGCACTGACCTTCCAGCAAGTTTTCAGAGAAGATTGCCTTCCTTTCTCCAGCAAAGCTGCTGGTGAATTCAAATTGCAGGCCTTTGGGTTGGCAACACAACCACTAGGCCACCCACAGCTCCTTAGGAGTCTTTCAGTAGTCTCTTTTAGGTATCATTTACTTTCTTTTTGACAAATAAAATTTAATTCTTAAATTCCTTCTTATACACACAAACACAAATATAAATCCTCATACTCCTAGTACTCCATAGGAGTACTGTAATCATACTTAACCTTTTCTTTTGTTTGAAGAGATTCCTATTATTGGGGTGCTATGTTTATACTTTGGCTGTAGTCAGAGATGATGAGGATGGCACATGACAGGGTAAGCTTAGGCCAGCCGTTCATAGGCTCGCTTTTTCTAGGTTTTGGGTGTGTGTGTGTAAAACATATAGCAAAACATACCAGTCCAGCTGTTTCTGCTTTTAATAACAAATTACATCCTTTAAGTTATGCCGTCATTCTCACCTTTTCTAAGTTGCTCCCCTCATTTACATAAATTCAGGGCCCTTTAAGATTTTTTTTAAATCTTTGTTGAGTTACTGTTGTCAATTTGATCCCATATACTTCTTAAATAGTATAATGCCCAAAGCAGAACTTTTTTACTAGTTAAGCTAAAGTATTTCCTTTTTAATGTATTAAAAGTTGTTGTTGTTGTGTGCCGTCGAGTCGTTTGTGACTCATAGCGACCCTATGCACAACA